TCATTTGTTAAAATCCTACAAAACTATACTATTTGTTTATAAAGTGTTTGGGCAACATTATTGGTTTTTATTTTTTAAAAAATTTCTTATTGTTATTGTAAATTTTTATTTAGAAAAACTTCTAAATAAGCAAAATCTTTGCAATAAAATAAATATTTATAACACACTTATTGTTCAAACAATTATTGCCCATTTTTTTTTTTACCAGACTAAAGACAAAACCACAAAAGGGTTGAAAACTAAAAGATAAAAATTAAATTGTTTAAATAAATCGTAAAATGTGTTAAAATGGAAATAGAAAGGATTTCAAGCAATAATATAAAACAATTTAAGAAATAAAATAGCATAGACTATAGTCTACACTACAGACTAGACTATAAACATGACTATAGAGTAGACTACAAAGTAGACTATAGACTAGACTATAGACTAGACTAGACTATAGACTATAGACTATAGACTAGACTAGACTATAGACTAGACTAGACTATATACTAGACTATAGACTAGACTATAGACTAGACTATAGACTAGACTATAAACTAGACTATAGACTAGACTATAAACTAGACTATAAACTAGACTATAAACTAGACTATAAACTAGACTATAAACTAGACTATAGACTATACTATAGTATAGACTATAGGCTAGGATATATACTAGACTATAGGCTAGGATATATACTAGACTATAGGCTAGGATATATACTAGACTATAGCCTAGGATATATACTAGACTATATGCTAGGATATATACTAGACTATAGGCTAGGATATATACTAGACTATAATTTAGACTATAGACTAGACAATAGGCTAGGATATATACTAGACTATTGACTAGGATTGGCTTGGCTATAGGCTAGACTATAAACTAGACTATAGACTAGAATATAGACTAGACTATAGACTAGACTGTAGACTAGACTATAGACTAGAATCTAGACTAGACTATAGACTAGACTATAGACTAGACTATAGACTAGACTATAGGACTAGAACATAGGACTAGACTATAGATTAGACTATAGACTAGGACTATAGACTAGACTATAGACTAGGACTATAGACTAGACTATAGACTAGGACTACTAGACTAGACTATAGACTAGACCTATAGACTAGACTATAGAAGACTATAGACTAGACTATAGAATAGACTATAGACTAACTATAGACTAGACTATAGACTAGACTATAGACTAGACTATAGACTAGACTATAGACTAGACTATAGACTAGACTAGACTAGACTATAGACTAGACTATAGACTAGACTATAGACTAGACTATAGACTAGACTATAGACTAGACTATAGACTAGACTATAGACTAGACTATAGACTAGACTACTAGACTAGACTATAGACTAGACTATAGACTAGACTATAGACTAGACTATAGACTAGACTATAGACTAGACTATAGACTAGACTATAGACTAGACTATAGACTAGACTATAGACTAGACTATAGAGACCTATAGACTAGACTATAGACTAGACTATAGACTAGACTATAGACTAGACTATTAGACTAGACTATAGACTAGACTATAGACTAGACTATAGACTAGACTATAGACTAGACTATAGACTAGACTATAGACTAGACTATAGACTAGACTATAGACTAGACTATAGACTAGACTATAGACTAGACTATAGACTAGACTATAGACTAGACTATAGGACTAGACTATAGACTAGACTATAGACTAGACTATAGCTAGACTAGACTAGACTATAGACTAGACTATAGACCTAGACTATAGACTAGACTATAGACTAGACTATAGACTAGACTATAGACTAGACTATAGACTAGACTTAGACTAGACTATAGACTAGACTATAGACTAGACTATAGACTAGACTATAGACTAGACTATAGACTAGACTATAGACTAGACTATAGACTAGACTATAGACTAGACTATAGACTAGACTATAGACTAGACTATAGACTAGACTATAGACTAGACTATAGACTAGACTATAGACTAGACTACTAGACTATAGACTACTATAGACTAGACTATAGACTAGACTATAGACTAGACTATACTAGACTACCATACTATAGATTAGACTATAGATTAGACTATAGACTAGCCTATAGACTAGCCTATAGACTAGACTATAGACTAGACTATAGACTAGACTATAGACTAGACTATAGACTAGACTGTAGACTAGACTATAGACTGGACTATAGACTAGACTATAGACTAGACTATAGACTAGACTATAGACTAGACTATACACTAGACTAGACTATAGACTAGACTATAGACTAGATTATAGACTAGACTATAGACTAGACTATAGACTAGACTATAGACTAGATTATAGACTAGACTATAGACTAGACTATAGACTAGACTATAGTCTAGACTATAGACTAGTCTAGACTAGGCTATAGTCTAGACTATATACTAGTCTAGACTAGACTATAGTCTAGACTATAGCCTAGACTACAGACTAGACTATAGACTAGACTATAGACTAGACTATAGACTAAACTATAGACTAGACTATAGACTATACTATGGACTAGACTATAGACTAGACTATAGACTAGACTATAGACTAGACTATAGACTAGACTATAGACTAGACTATAGACTAGACTATATACTAGACTATAGACTAGACTATAGACTAGACTATAGACTAGACTATAGACTAGACTATAGACTAGACTATAGACTAGACTATAGACTAGACTATAGACTAGACTGTAGACTAGACTATAGACTAGACTATAGACTAGACTATAGACTAGACTGTAGACTAGACTATAGACTAGACTATAGACTAGACTTTAGACTAGACTGTAGACTAGACTATAGACTAGACTATAGACTAGACTATAGACTAGACTGTAGACTATAGACTAGACTATAGACTAGACTGTAGACTAGACTATAGACTAGACTATTGACTAGACTATTGACTAGACTATTGACTAGACTATAGGCTAGACTATAGACTAGACTATAGACTTGACTATAGACTAGACTATAGACTAGACTATAGACTAGACTATAGACTAGACTATAGACTAGACTATAGACTAGACTATAGACTAGACTATAGACTAGACTATAGACTAGACTATTGACTAGACTATAGACTAGACTATGGACTAGACTATAGCCTAGACTATTGACTAGACTATAGCCTAGACTATAGACAAGACTATAGACTAGACTTTAGACTAGAGTATAGATTAGACTTTGTGCTAGACTGTAGACTATCCTATAGATTAGACTTTTGACTGTAGACTAGACTATAGACCGGAGTATTTACTAGACCATTGTTGAAACTATAGACTAGACTATAGTCCAGATTACAGACAAGACTATAGGCCAGACTATAGGCTAGAGTAGACTATAGGTCAAGCTATAGATTGTTCAATAGCCTAGACTATGGAGTATAGTATAGTTCACACTATAAGTTAAGCAATAGATTAGCCTATAGTCTAGACTATAGACTAATTTATAGACTAGTCAAGAGTTTAAACTAGACTATAGTACAGATTATAGACCGGGTTATGGGCTAGACTATGATTCAGACTTTAAACTAGACTATAATCCAGACTTTAGACTCAACTATAGTACAGACTATTGACTAAGCTATAGTTTAGGCTACATACCAGATAGTAGTCCAGATTATAGACTAGGCTATAGCCCAGACTATAGAGACTACAGTCCAAACTATAGTCTAGTCCATACTATAGACCAAAATATATATTGGCCAGAATATAGACTAACTGACTGACTAGACTGCTTTACATCCTATATTCCAGACTGTAAACTAAACTATAGTTCAGACAATGGACTAGACTATAGTTCTGACTATAGTATATTTTTTGATGTTTTAAATTATTATTTTACTTTTTGTGAATTTTCTTTAAAGATTTTTTATTAAATGTGTTTGTTGCATGTTTGTAGCCTCTAGTAATTTCCTGTAAATCTTAACTGTTTAATTGAATAATTTCCCAGCATTTTTGTAAGTATCTTTATTAACATTTTGTATAAAAAACTCTTGAAAAAAATCCTGATGATCGATCTATGAAAACAAACAAAGAAACTTTTTAACATAACAGTCTCATGAAACACATTTTGAAAATCAGCACTTAACTCCAGTTCAACACAACAACAAAATAAACTTTTAAAAAAGCAGCTTAAAGCCACCTGTAAATTACAACAACAAGAGATAACAAAAAATAACTTGATTAAATAATTACTAGCATTAACAACAATATAATTATTACAAAACTAACAATTACAAGAAAAAACTACTTTTACTACAACAACAACAGCTATAACAACAACAACAAAATAATGGAATAAATTTATAAAAATATGCAATACATAACATTTTGTAAGAAATAGAAACAGCAATTATTATTTACTATCTTTTTTTAAAACAAATAAGTAAAACTACTACTACTACTAAATAAACTACTACTACCACTACTAAAATAAACAACCCAGAAGCCACTCTTTTACTGCCACTACTACTACCATTTTTAAAACGTTTTAGCTAAAAAAAAACTAGATTTATGAAAGAAACTTTATAAAAATTATAGAAAATTTGTTTTTTTTTATTATAAAAAAATATTTAACTGAAAACCAACTACAACAACAACAACCACATCAACAACTACAACAACAATATATGCAACTAATTCTCTATTAAGATATATAATGTTTTTTTTTTGTAACTATACTCTTATATATATATTATAAATAATTATATATTCTATATAAATTTTTACAAAAAAAAAATTTGAGAAAAAATTATTGAAAAATACGCACCTTTTTAAAAAAAACAAACGGTTTTGCAAAAGCTCTTTTCAAAAAAATAACACAAATAATCGTTAATTTATAAAAAAAAAATATTCAAAACAATATTCAAAAAATTCAAAAACCTCTCAGAAATTAAATTATATAAATATATATATGAAATAATGACCCAAACTCTTAAACCCAACAAGAAAACACAAGCCAAAAATAAATAAAATTAAAGTAAAATTAAAAAAAAAAAACAAATTTAAACAAAAAAATAATAGTATTAAAAACAAAAAACAATTCTCTCTTTCTCTCTCTCTCTCGCTTAATTGTCTGTATGCAGGGTTAAAGGTGTTGCCACAACGTCGTATACAACCACCACCACCACCAGCACAACTACAACGACGACAGCGACGAAGACCAACACGACTACTAAGGCCAAGGCTGTTAAAAGAGAAACTACAATTGCTCTGCAACAACAAAGTCGTCGTCTACTTTAGCCACCACTAGTAGTAGCATTTTGAAAATTACCTTAAAAAGGCTTAATTGTACTAAAACTATCACTGGGTTTTGGTCTACTTCTATTTTAAGAATACGGACCCTTTTTAACTAGAGCGTTGTTTGTGAAAAAATGGCTTTTTTGAAATGCTTTTTACTTACTACTACTACTACTACTCTACTGCGAATTGCTAACAAATCGAGCTTTTATTGTCACTCTCTCTAATCCATATTTTTTTGTTTTGTTCTCAAGGCGTTAGTATAAAAGTTAACGGTTTTAAAACCCTTTCTCTCTAACTATTGAACAGATGGTAATAGCAGTGTGTTCCTTTAACAAGTTTTTGAATTTTTTGTGTGTTAAAAAAGATTATTCCAAAAAACGCGTTTTTTTTTTCTTTAAAAAAATCTTAATAATTGTCATAAGTTTAGAAATTTACTATAGAAATACAATTGATTCTGAGCTATAGACTAGTCCATAGTTTACGCTAAAGACCAGTCTGTAATCTAATCTACAAACAAGTCTATAAGACTAGTCCTTCGTCTAATCTATAGACTAGTCCATTGTCTGAGCTATAGACTAGTTCATAGTCTAATCTATAGACCAGTTCATAGCCCAATCTATAGACTAGTTCATAGTCTAATATATAGACTAGTCCATAGACTAAACTATATACTAATCTGTAGACTAGTCCACAGTCTAATCTAGTCCGTGATCTAATCTATTGACCATAGTTTCATCTATCAACTAGCGCATAGTCTAATCTATAGACTTGTACACTATCTAATATATAGACTAGTCCATATTCTGATCTATAGACTAGTTTATAGTTTTACCTATAGGCTATTTTATAATCTATCTAGTCCATGGTCTGATCTATAGACTAGTCTTTAGACTATTTCATGGTCTGATCTATTGACTAGTCCATGGTCTGAGCTATAGACTAGTCCATAGTCCAGTCTTCAGACTATTTCAAAGTCTTCTCTATAGATTAGTTCATAGTCTAATCTATAGACTAGTTCATAGTCTAATCTATAGACTAGTCCATAGTATAATCTATAGACTAGTCCACACTCTAAACTTTGCAATAGATCATAGTCTAAACTATAGACTAGTCCCTAGTCTAATCTATGGACTAGTCCATAGTCTAAACGATAGACTAGTCCATAGTCCAAACTACAGACTAGTCCATAGTCGAATCTATGGACTAGTCCATGGTCAAAACTATAGACAATTCCATAGTCCAAACTATAGACTAGTCCATAGTCTAAACTATAGACTAAACTATAGTCTAAACTATAGACTAGTCCATATAATCTATACTCTAGTTCATAGTCTAATCTATAGACTAGTTCATATTCTAATCTATAGACTAGTTTATAGTCTTACCTATAGACTATTTTATAGTCTAATCTATGGACCATCATCAGATCTATCCATAGTCTACACTATAGACTAGTCCATAGTCTAAACTATAGGCTAGTAAGCTCTAGTCCATAGTCTAAACTATAGACTAGTCCATATAATCTGTAGACTAGTTCATATTCTAATCTATAGACTAGTTTATAGTCTTACCTACAGACTATTTTATAGTCTAATCTATGGACTAGGTCATAGTCTAATCTTACGATTATTCCATAGTCTGTTCCATAGTCCGATCTATAGTTCAGTCTATAGTCTGAACTATTGTCTAAGTCTAATCTATAGACTAGTCCTTTATCTAATGTATATATTAGTCATTAGTCTAATCTAGAGACTAGTCCATAGTCTAAACTATAGATTAGTCTATAGTCTGAACTATGGACTAGTCCATAGTCTAAACTATAGACTAGACCATAGTCCAAACTATAAACTTGTCCATAATCTGAATTATAGACTAGTCCGTAGTCTAAACTATAGACTAGTTCATAGTCTAATTTACAGGCTAGTCCATAGTCTAAACTATAGACTAGTCCATAGTCTAAACTATAGACTAGTCCCTGGTCTAATAGACTAGGCCATCATCAGATCTATCGACTAGTCCTTAGTCGAAACTATAGACTAGTCTATAGTCTAAACTATAGACTAGTCCATAGTCTAAACTATAGAATAGTCCATAGTCCAAACTATAGACTAGTCCGAAGTCTAAACTATAGACTAGTACATAGTCTAAACTATAGACTAGTCCATAGTCTAAACTATAGACTAGTCCATAGTCCAAACTATAGACTAGTCCGTAGTCTAAACTATAGACTTGTTTATTGTCTTATATATAAATTAGTCCATAGTCTAAACTATAGACTAGTCCATAGTCTAAACTATAAACTAGTCCATGGTCTAAACTTTTAACTAGTCCATAGTCAAAACTATAGACTAGTCCATAGTCAAAATTATAGACTAGTCCATAGTCTAAACTATAAACTAGTACATAGTCAAAACTATAGACTAGTCCATAGTCTAAACTATAGACTAGCCCATAGTATAAACTATAAACTAGTCCATAGTATAAACTATAAACTAGTCCATAGTCTAAACTATAGACTAGTCGACTAAACTATAGACTAATTCAAGTCTACACTATTGACTAGTCCATAGTCTTACCTATGTATATACTAGTCCATAGTCTAAACTATAGACTAGTCCATAGTCTAAACTATAGACTAGGCCATAGTCTAAACTATAGACTAGGCCATAGTCTAAACTATAGACTATTCCACCGTCAGACATATTGAGTAGTCTAATCTGTTGATATGCCGAGTTTCTTAATTATTATAAGCTTGTTCTTATTCAGTTTCTGTTTTACTGAAAGGCGAAAAAGTTTCTTGCGAGTTTTTGTGCGTTTGTGTATGCTGATTGGTTCCTATACTGGCCTTTATAAGTCTCAGACTGCAGAGCTGGAGTTTTAAATTTAAGTTTTTACTTTAAAATATCTTATATTTTTAAACTTATGACAATTATCAAGATAAATAATAAAATATTAATAAAATATTGCTTTTAAGGAATTTTGTATGTGGTTGTTGATCGTGTTTGATTGTTGAACATTACAAAAATAAAATTGTTTTAAACAAATTTCTTAAAAATATTTTAAATCTGTTCAATAGTTTTTTATTTAATATAAATTTTTGAAATTTAAAAAAAAATATGGTTTAGTTTGTTAGTAATTTAAAAAAAAATCTATATTTATAGAGTAGTAGCTTCTTATTTTGGACAAAAAATTTAAACAAAAAATTGGAGTTAAGTGGTGGCTATTTACAAAAAAAATTTTAAAAAAATGTATGTGGTAAATGAAAATAAAGTTATGAATTAAAAAGTGTGGATAGATCGTTGGGACTGGTTTAAAAACTGTTCTGAAAATGGTGAGTTTTTGTTTGATTTTTTGTTTTTCTTATAAAATTTATTTAAATTTTATTAAAAATTTATAAAAATTCTTATGTTTTACTAAACATTTGTACACTTTTATATTTATAGTTTTTAGCTAATAATTAATATTATTTATGTTAGTTTTTTTTTAGCGTTTTATAAATATTTGTAACAGGTTTTTTTGTTAAGAAAATATGTTAGTTTTTTTAAAACATTTGTTAGAATTTTTTCTCAGTTAAACAAGTTTTTATTGTTTTGCTTAATAGCTAAATAACAATTTTAACCTAAAATGGCCTCTAGACCTTGACTTGGTTTTATTATTTTATTTTGTGTGTAAAAAATAAGGCTGCTTTTTGTAATTTTGTTAAAATTGCTTCAAAAAAAATCTTATTTTTTTCTAATTAAATTGTGCATTTTTTTCTTCACAAATCAATTGCAAAAAATATTAATGTTATTTATTATTTTTATAACTAAATATTTTAGAGATTTTTTCTAAATATTATTTATGGTCGTTTATTTTAAGTGCAATTATTATTTTTTGTGGAACAATTTTTTTCTAGACTTCATAATTATTTGTCTGAAAAAGGCATTTGTTGTCATATAATAAATCATTAGAGAAACTTAAAATGTTTCATAATTAATTGTCTATAAAAGGAGTTAATGGACAAACATGTATTCTTTTTTCTGGGGAGATTGTAAATTAATGAAAAAAATTAGATAAAATTTAGTAGAATGTTGATTTTTTTGACAGTTTTAGTTTGAGTGGCAGTTTACAGTCTCTTTGATAACAACATTTTAATATCATGTTATTATAATCGTATTATAATGTAATATTATACATTATAATGGCATTATAATGTAATATTATACATTATAATGGCATTATAATGTATTTTTATACATTATAATCACAATATAATGTACTTTTCTACATTATAATCGCATTATAATGTATTTGCATAAATTATAATCCCACTATTATGTACTTTAGTACATTATAATATCATTATAATGTATTTCTGTACTTTATAATCGTATTTAGTATAATATCATACATTATAATGGTATTATAATTTATTTCTGTACATTATAAACGCATTATAATTATTTGTATACATTATAATGTCATTATAATGTATTTTAATATATTATAATCGCATTATTATGTGTTCCTATGTATTATATTTGTATTATAATATATCAGTATACATAAAAATTGTATTATAATGTATTTGCATAAATTATAATCACATTTTTATGTATTTGTATACATTATAATCGCATTATAATGTATTTGTATACGTTATAATCTCATTATAATGTATTTGTATACATTATATTCGCATTCTAATGTGTTTGTAT